AACTTTTTAGAGCCAGGCTTACACTCCATTTTCACATTTATATAAGAAGAAAAGCCCAGGATGATTCATGTCTTGAGTGCTTAATAAATGCTTTTTGGACTGAACTGTAAAAGAACCCGTTATATTTCATTCAAATTAATGAGAGAGAAAACTCTTCAAAATACAAGGCAAGCAGGTTCACTTCATTTCCTTGAGTAAGTTTTCACTTTCAATGGTTGTAAAATGATGCACCTGACAAGTATGCTGTTGATTTTATTCACAACTAAATGACAGGGCTGATTGACAGCTAGAAATGGATCTGAAATAAGTTACTGCTTGGTTTTTTTTTTCCTCTTTCAGTGTCAGTAATCCAAACTCCTTTCATCTCTTTTTTGGATTATACTTCATAAGCTGAGCTGCTGTTCTTCTGACTCTCCTCTAAACATCAATACAGATTCCAATAAGGAGCATGTCAATGTGAGAAACAAAAGGAAGATGGCCTCATGGTTCTAGAGGAAAATATTGTTTCCCCTTAAAGTAGTATCATCTTACCAGAACCCCCTCCCAAAAATCTCCAATACTAATGCTGCTGCCCAGGAAACAAAGATGTTCATTCAAACTACCTTCTAATATTTAAGTAAATTACTAGCCTTGATTTCTGTTTACTGGACCAGTGCGTCTTGTCATTAGTGACCCAATTACTCAATTCAAATAATCAGACCTGATCTTCTCAATTCCACATGAGAAATAATCAGCTCCTCTTCTCGTTCTCTGCTCACTAACAGTCCTTAGCTCTCATAAGGGAGGGACTGAAGGAAAAAAGTTTTCATTTTTAACAATATTGCACACATCATGCCTCACTAGAAACACAATGATTTAAAAAATGAAAATGAATGTGTTTAAAATATTTCTGCTCTCTGTCAAGTTATATGACAGTTATCAAAATACTGGAAAGCTCTAGACCCTTTGAAGTATTTGTACTTACTGAAAAAAACAAAAAGCTTTCTTTTAAAACAAGGTGCTATTGTCTGCTGCCTTAGGGTTTCTACAACCATGCACTGAGAAGGGCAGGATCTGGATTTGGGATTTCAATGGCACAGGGACCTCCCTGATGAGGAAACTACATCAATCCATGCAGGAGGGCACCTTCTCGACAACTTATAGTCTTAGAAAGTTGTAGAGAGTACCAAGATGTTAAGCGATTTGCTGTGTCAGAAGCAAGATTTGAACTCAGTCTTCTTGGCTTCAAGGCTAGCTTTCCGTTAACTACTCCACACTGCCTCCCCGCACTTATTCATCAATCATGAAAGCAGACATTCATTCCATCATGAAGTTCAATTACTGTAGGGAGTCAAGCTTTTAGGACATGCAAAAAAAAAAATTGTTTGGAATAAACAAACAAAAAAATTACTTCCTGGGTTTTCCATGATTAAAAAAACCTTAGTATTCATAATAATTCTTATATAACTCCTATTTATCCATAGCTTTAAGGTTTATAGAGCAGGTTTCTTAGAGCCATCCAATGAAACAGGTAGTCCATGTTCCATCTCCACCTCACAGATGATCAAATCGAGGCCTGGGAAACTGAAGAGACTCCCTAATGTCAGTGTTAGTGCTGGGCCTTGGGATGATAGGCTAGGCCTAGAAGAGGTCTCTGATGTTATCAGAGGACGAAAGTGAGGCTGGGAAGTACTTTACCCGAGGTGACAAAGGAAGGGAGTGGAAAGATGGGATCTGAGCAACTGGGCGGCCTCTGATGCCAGCCTTTGTTCCACCTCTGTGACACGTGGCCCCTTCCCTGTGTAGTGATGGTAACCTGTGATACCCCTCTGGCATCACATGCCACTGGCTTTGAAATCAAGTCTTCCTACAATCAGTGTTAATAATAATTCACTGCACCAAATGAAAAGATAACAAGTGTTGAGAGGTCAGAATATTATTTGTGGCAAAGGGTATTAGAAGTGAGAGTACATGCTCACCCAACCCTGAGCGGGCATCCTAAGTGACGGAGTCTTTAGAGTCATCATCATGCCGCACGGACAGAAAAGAGAACAGCTGCAAGAAGCCTTCTTGGGAGGTAAGGTCCATGCTGTCTGGACCATCCTCAGTCCTTCTCTGTGTACATGCCCCAACCAGGATGTTCACAACCCTGCATAGATGGTCTAATGCCCCCTCAGGACAGGTTGAGGTAAATTCTGGGAGTTTTAGTTTAGGTAGAAAACTGAATTAATGGGGCACTCAAATGACCTCTTAATCCAATGCATAATAAGTGTCTTTGAACTTTAAAGTACAAAGTGACATAAAAAATACTCAATGTAGGGAAGCATTTTTATTTAAATAAATATTTGTTATAATATTGAAATAGAAGGACAATAAAAACTGAAAGCACTAAACATCTGAATTCTATTTAATTGCATTTGAACAAATATTTGTTACTGTAAATCATCATTAGACACATAAAAAGAAAGAGATGATAAAAGAGGGACTTCTTCATTTTTGTCTGTTGCAGTTCTTTTAGGAGACATTTAATGTCTGTTGACTGGCTGACTAATGCCAACATCAAAAATGTTTATTAAGTCCTGATGGTTTCCATTTGGTTCTATCCTAGAGACTCCAGAGGGAGTTACAATGGAGGCCCAGGCCCAGGCACTGGGCTTGATGTCAGGAGAGCCTGACAGTTAAATCCTACATCTGAGACTTACTCACTGTGGGACCCCTGGACAAGTCCCTTCACCTTTCTGAGGCCCAGGAAGAACAGTTACAGTAGACACCCTCTAGGGCTGATGTGGGCTCAAAGGAAGTCATGCATGTCTGGAAAATGCCTTCCAAACTTCCAAGTGCTCCATGAACATTAGGTATCAGGATAGCACATTCTGGACTCATCTCAGATAGTATTATGTTGGCGTATTTTGTATAGCCCTCACCTGTATTATGTTTTAGATTGTCTCCTCTGATCCTTGAAACAACCCTCTAAGGTTACTCATTACCACGGTCTTGCCATCCCCAACTCACAGGATTGTTTCCAATATCGATCTAATCACACAAAGTAGTGAAAGCACTCAGTAAGCTTTAAATTAAGGCCAGCTACCATGCCTACTACTGGCTACAAAGTTAAGTTACCACTCACTAATTTAGAGTTTAAGACAAATAAGATAGATGAGGACTAAAATGTCAAAAATATGCTCACACACACGGTGATAACAGACAATTACACTGCCCTTTGAACACTGCATTGTACATTACACAGACTTATCTCCTTTAAGCCTCACAACAATGCTGTGAGGTAGGTACTACAGATGTGGAAAGAGGCAGCCGGCTAAAGAGAATCAGAATTTGAACCTAGGTCTTGTCTTCCCAACTGCAAATCATGCTATCTCTGTGGTAAACTGATATCAGAAAATGTTTACACCAGTTTGCTCATTTTAATTAAAGATGTTCCCACATTCCTGTTCCTCTAGAATGTTCGAGTACACTTGACCACCCTTCTGTTTAACCATCACTAGACAACGCCACTCCTGGTCACGCTGTTTCTTTCCACAGTTCTTGTTTTTCCCAGATTCAAACCCTCCTATTCTCATCGTCATCTTCACAGCTGGGACAGTCACAAACCAATCCCTCCTACCTCGACGAGTACGACAGCCTCCTCCTGTTCCTGGTCACCAGGCTCAATCCCTTCTAATCCAATGTGATCACTGCTACCAGAATGATCTTGTGTAACGTTCAGCATGTTTCTGACCTGGAACGACTTCCTATGTGCAGCAGGTACACTCTAAAGTCCTCATTCAGACATTAAAGGTCCTCTGGGCAATATTTTCCCCTTGACTATCTAGGATGGAGAGGATAGTGGCTCATTGAACCCCCTCCTTCTTGTGGAATAGGCCAAAGATTAGAGAAGAAGTTCCAACACACAGATAACCAATAATGGAACACTCTAAGCCCCTATCAAGAAACAGACAAGTCAAAGAGAGAAAAAGGGTAACAGGTGGGGCACAGTGCAAGAGGCACAAGGAGAAAGAGCGTCAAAACCAGACATATTTAACAAGTTCTAAGACAGGAGGGAGCAGGAGGCAAAAGTTTCAGGAGGTGAATGCCAGACAGCAGACAAAACATGGAGCTAGATAAAGAACAAGGGTTCAGATGCTCCCCCACAAGAATTTCCCAAGCACAACATTCTAGTAGACTGTCTATAACTAAAATTAGCCTTGCTAGGAGGCGCCAGGCAAGATAGGCGGCTTCTAATGGCTGCCCACCACAAACCCGCTAGCTCAACGACACTTTATGGCCAGTCTTCTGCTTAAAATACTGTTCCTGTACAATTCCTCTCTGACTGCCATTGTCTACAATGATTTCTCCCTTTCCATTTTTCTTTATGTACCTGTAGTATGGTACTTCCACCTAACTTTAGCATTGTCCTTTCATGTTTTCACACGTCTCTCTTGTCTCTCTTCCCAGCTATATGGCAGGTTCTAGAATAGGAACCTGTCCTGTTTTTTTGTGGACCCCAAAGTACCTGTTATAGCACTGAAAACATAGCAGACATTTAATGATGGATTTAACAAAAGGCTCAGAGATGTGAGCCACCAGTTAAGTGAGACACAAAGTTGAATTCCTCAAAAGAGCTAAGGGAAAAGGCTAGCAATCAGGAAGACATAAGGGGAATAAAGCAACCTGGAAGCACCTGGTGAAGAGTCTGAAAGCTAACGATGAGGATATGACACCGGGTTTACAGACCAACAGTAAACGGGCCTGTCATAAAAACAGTGAATGCTTTCTTTAGGGTTGCTTTTAGCCTATATTATTTTCTCAATTTCAAAACTTCATAAACGCAAAAATCAATTAACCCTGCTTACGTGGAGAGGAAGCATGAAGTCAAAATTTTCCCCCCACTTTTATTAGTTGGTTAGCAAACAACTTAATATTTCAGTTTTTAACTTCTATTATAATACAAAATGTAAAAGTCAAGTGCTTCATTTACTTTAAACAAATGACTGCATCTCTAGTCTGGGTTTCTAAAAATATACCTGGTTCTGTTAATGTTAAGGGTTGACCTCCAAATTTCATTTCTGTTTGGCGAAGCTTAGTCATATTTAGCAGTTGGGTAATTTGAGGTACATCTGTAGTTAATTGGCAGCTTCGAGGAATGATATCTGTAGGCCCGTCTGTTGTAAAGGGAGCACCATATATATCTGGAAATAAAGAAAAAAAATTCACTTTACAATGATGAATTCAAGGATAAACACATATGTATAGCTCTCTCGATCTATAAATATGTCTATCTCTGTCTTTCTTTTTCTCTCTGTCTCTTTGAATCTGTCTCTCTCTAGCACGGTTACCACAACGAGATAAAGTGACTTGTCCATTATGTACTACAAAGTCAGAGGTGGGATCCGAACGCTGATGCGAAAACAAAAGTCAATGTAACTTAAGAAAGAATGAGATGCCAATGGATGAATGGCGCACTTGGCACGTCAATGGCCCTGGGCAATAAGAAAAATCCTTTTGTGCCTGAGCAGAGACAGCATGAGCTGCATTGGTGGAGGGGAGGAGTGCCCACTTTAATGGGGTCAAGGACCCAACAGGTCATTTCTGATGTGCTCTCAAAATTAAAGAAAACTGCAGCTGATTACTAGCTGGCCAGAATTAGACAAACAGTGGCTAAATGTGAATGGCTAAAATCCACTACAACATGAAAAAACTCAAAATGATGTCCCTCTCTATAATCTGGTGAAAAAACTTTCTAAGAGAAGCCTTATATAAGGATCATTCAACCATTCTTTGCTTACAAACATCTTTATGTAAAGACAGTTTAGAAAAGTGATAAATTTTATGGAATTCATGAAGGCAATGCTAAAACCCAGGAAATGAATCACTGCCACCCCTGGTCTCTGTGACCGTGGGCAAACCACTTGCTTGGGCCTCAGCATATATATATGTGAAATATTTAAAATTGGATTGGATGGCATCTGAGGTCCCTTCTAGTTCTAAATTTAGGATCTTACAAATATGAATAAGTGATGATAAGTCTATAGCCTCAGTTAACATTTTAAGTTTCATGACACAGACAGATGATGGCAGTTTCCTATTTATAGAATTTCCTAATCTCAGTAAGGAAAATTAATATTTTTACTTTAATATATTATGAAATCTGTAATGGTAGTGGTGTGGGTCATCCCTCCACCAATACAGATCTCTGGTCTAATATTACTTAGCAGATGGTCTTTGAAGGAGAAGGAAGAACAAGCACCTACTACGTGTCAGGCACTGTGTAAGCACTTTACAAATATTATCTCATTTGATCATCACAACTCTGGGAGGCAGGTGGTATTATAATCCTCATTTTGCATTTGAAGAAACCGAGGCACCCTGACAGTGGTTATGTGACTTTCCAACGGTCACACGGCTAGTAAGAGAGTTGCTGCGGCTAAAAAATCATGAGCCATAAGCCAACCTGCTTATGAACCTTTCTCAACTAAGCAAGCTGGGTTCTCAGACAACATCCCTCACGCCACATTTGGCAGGAGATGCTGAAGCATTTACTCGACTGGCACAGCCTTCCGAGAAGGTCACCTCTATGCCCTAAGGAGGCATCTCAGTAGTATCCATATGGAGGCACTTCAGTATAAACCAGCTGAACTCCTGAGCTGTCTAGACTATAAACTCACGGGCTCTCAAAGAAAGACAATGCAGTAGATTGACAGAGTTTCTAACGAACCTCGTTTTCAACATTCGTTAAGCATCTCCTACATGCATGGCACCCTTACTACCACCACTACCAACAAAAGCTACTATTTATCCACTGAATGAGCTTCACCAAGTGCTTTTCATGCAGGGTTTCCAAGGATATTATCTGCACTTTACAGAAGAGAGAACTCGAGTTGCCTGGAATTACACCAGCACCAGGGGGCACTTCGGAAGGGAAGTCCATCTGTCTGTGTCTCTCGTCCGAGCTCGTCCAAGACTTCCTGCTATACCATTCTATCTCTTTAGTTTGCCATAAAGAACGGCAAAGTACCAACCACATGGAACCAGTGGGCAAATGAACTGTCAAAACAGAAAACATTCGGCAAAAACACTAACCAAACTCCATACTGAGGTTACAAATGTCTTTTTATGAAGAATATATTCCATTTCAATTCCAACATAGGCAATAAACTCAGATTTCATTGTAGAACAAGAATGATATTCTGGAGGTTATATTTAAGGGCATCACAGAAAAAAAAGAATGAATTATTCTGATTTCTTAAAAAAAGAATCATAGAAACTCAAGTATTTTTAAGAGTGCTATAATGTTATATACTAAAGAACAGATCTTTAAGGGGAAAAAAAAAACCAGTCAAAATCCCATAAGATTTTAAATGTACTTAAGTCCTCATTCCAAATGTTGTCACAAAACCTAAAAAAAGATTATGAAACGCTCTCACCAAGATGACAAAATCCACCAGCTTTTGATACAGGGCAACACAAAGTAGAGCACATTTCAGGCCTCTAAGTCTCAGATCTACAACACAGTGAACAGCACAAATCCCAACTCACACCAAAAGGATCCAATTGCATTCTGCAATATGCTTTTTACTTCTACGTTTATTGTTATTTTTGTATGCAGAGAGGTCTCATGGAAGGAAAGGGTGTATCTGGCTGTGCGTAAGTGAGGACAGTAAAGATCAAAGCAAGAATCAAACCACAATAACTCAGTCCACTGATGATATTTCCAAAACTTAATCATCTCAAATTTTCTCCGAGAATTAAGGACTATATTTGAAGGACGTGTGAGCCTTGGACTAGAATGACCTGAGAAACAGATTTAGAGCTGGGAAAGCCCATGGAAGTCCTCTAGCTTACCCAATTAGCTTCTCTCGTTGCTGCTCAGGAGCGTCCAACTCCTCATGACTCCACGGACCACAGCACACCACTACCATACAGTCGTGGGGTTTTCTTGGTAAAGACACTGGAGTGGTTTGCCATTTTTTTCTCTAGTGAATTAAGGCAAACAGGTTAAGTGACTTGCCCAGGGTCACACAGTTACCAGGTGTCTGAGGCCGAATTTGAACTCAGGTCTCCTTGACTCTGGGCCTAGCGCTCTATCCACTGAGCCACCTAGTTGCTTCATTGTACAGAAGTGCAATTACACAGGAAAATGAGGAGCAGAAGTTAAAGGGCTCCTTCCTTCCCTCTCCAAAAGAAAAAAAAAAAAGACTCCACAAGTTCTAGCATATAAAACCAAAACCTAAAACTCCTTGACTGGCCATTTTTCTGACTGCTGGAGAGAGGGATGATTTACCTAACTAAATGGGACTGAACCAGGTTCTACTCCCATCTTAAGCACGATCTTCAAGGCCACTAAGTCATCTTCTGATTATTTACTGTCTATCCTAAAAATTAAAGCTGTTGCAATTCATCCTGAGGTGGCAGAAATCCTGTATGTAAATAAAATAACTTGAGAGCAGTCCAAACCAAATGTCACTTTCAATTCTTTGATTTTTTCATTAGCTGGTGGGGCCTTCACTCAGTTGTCATCACCTAGAAAACACTACATAAAAATTCGGACGTGACAATTTTCTCCCTAAATCACAAGTAACCAATCAAACTAGGAATGCTAAGTGGAGTAGATACAGCGTGTACACACAGGCAGTGCTCCGTCAAGCACACATCATCTCCTGAAAGGGAAATGGATTATTTGTTCAGATTATCCGGATAGAGCAGAAACTCCGGGACAGCATGAGCTAAACCAGAGAACGGCAGAAGAGAACACAAAGGAGAACGTCTACTTGGGGACAGGCAAACACGATCACGTAGCAAACAAAAAGGATCCTAGGGTGAGTGACCCAGGACCTTTACCACCACATAAGGAAGGTAGATCATTAGACTATGAATGATTTCCTATACACCTGCTGCTTTCTTCCAGCCCAAACACATAATCAAATGGAATATTTCACAATTGTTTAGTTGCTTTGAAGAGGATCTTAAATAGCTTTAAAAACATGATCTCCTAAATCATAATAAAATGAATAAAATCACTTTCTCTTTCAAAATTCTACTTTGATGCCTCATCCTGGTGGTTGGGGAATGAGAGGAGGGTGACCCTGGATCTGCCAAGGTGGGGGAAGGATTCTACCAGGTGGGGCAGCTAGGTGGAGCAGTGGGTAGAGCACCAGCCCTAGATTCAGGAGGACCTGAGTTCAAGTCTGGCCTCAGCCACATAACACTCACTAGCTGTATGTCTCTGGGCAAGTCACTTAACCCCAACTGCCTCACCAAAAAAAAAAAGAATTCTACCAGCTTTTACCAGATTAGAAAGGCTTTGAAGACCAGCCTGGCACCAGTATCCAGCTTAGCTAAATACAGAGAAGCCTATCACCAAAAGGCTGGCTACCATGGAATGATGTTTTTGGTCCTGGTAACTAACAAAAACAAAAAAACAAGCAAGTTATGGAGGGGTCAAAACTGAGTGAATGCAATCAATGAAATCATGACCACGGGATCAAAGCCTTCTGAGATCTTAGAAAGCATCTAGTCCAACCCCTCATTTTAGAGATGATGAATCTGAGGCCCCCCAAGACCTTAAATGACTTGCCCAAGATCCCACAGATAGTAAAAGCACAGTCAGACTTTGAATCCAGATCCTTGACTCTCGACCCAGAGTTCCTGCCAATGCACCATATCACTTGAAGACTAGTAGTACCGGCAATCAGTATTATCATCCCTCTTTATCTATGTGATAAATTCTTCACTTCTCATGACCAAATAATATTTGTTAAGTACTGATTATTCCATACAGTTTTATCCTAGGAATGCTAGAGAGAAAATTACAAGGGAGGCAACCTGGGATGAGAGAAAGAATGATGAGCCTAGAGTCCTAAGAGACCCCAGTTTCAATTACACCTCTGAAATGGCCTAACTACAGAATCCTAGGCAAGTACTTGTCACGCTTTCCTTGGGGGTGCTGTGGGGATCAAATGTGAGTAGGCCCTTCAAAGGTTTGGCAAGCCCGACAAGCCTGTCCACACATCAGCTACTATTACATCAGCTATTACTGACTATTACGACTGCTATTTCCTCTGCAGGTTCCAGTCCCCTGCCCAGTGGTTTGTGGAGAGTTATGTGCCACTAAGTATCTCTAACATTTCTCTTGACTAAAGCCACTGAAGCAGAACTGGTAAGAGCGCATGGGTCCTAGAAGTTAAGGCAAACAGTGTGAGTGCATTAACTTCATATACTTTCCTCTGAAGCAATTTTGGAGGGAAAAATAATCCCCAACCCTTTTCTATTTCAGCATGAATAGAAAATATGTTCTCTCTCAAATGATTTCCTAAAAATGTATATAAAGATGTTCAAAATATTATAATAGCTGCTAAGTTAAGGAAAAAGTTTTAAGACATAAAAGAAATATTTCCTGTCTATTTGTACACACACTCACCTGCTGTGAAATGCTTTAGGTAAGTATGAAAATAAATCAATGGGACCCTGGCAGAGATCTGCTTTTGCGTTCCTCCAGTAACACCGCCCCTACCTAGATAGACCAGAGGCCTGGCTGACTGAACAACAACCCACTAAGGAGAGAGATTCGGGGTGCTGTCTGTTCAAACACACCCTCTCTGTCAGCAGTGTCTCGAGGTCTGGACTTCAGAGTAAAGATCTTTCGGAGCTTGCAGTTGGCAGAGACAATGATTCCATCCAAAGACTGGAATACGGCTCCCTTGAAGATGTCACTGGTGAAGGCTACCAAGTCAATACACAGATTGCACCACTGAAACAAAGAGGCCGAACACAGAGATGTTATTAATGACAGATGCACTGAAGACGAGGACAAACGCAAAATGAAGAAGATGGAACGAAGGCAATTACTGAGATACTTCAAACAACCGAAAATCCCCGCTTTCTCCTCAGATAATTTTGGTCAAGATGATGACCTAACAGCCTCCATTCTCTTCTTTATGTCTCTGTGTGAAACAAAGTCTTGATAACTGTAAATCCCAACTACCAACTGGTCATTTATGAACAGGCTTCCTTCATTATGCTTAGCCCAACGAATTTTGAGAAACAAAACTGGATGCAGAGACATGGTGCTGTTGGGAAGCTATTTACAGACATGTTTGACCATTCGCATATTGAAAGTGAAGGGTAAATAGTTAAATGTTCCTGCAAAGGGTCTAGTTTGTGAAGTTATTCATTTATAACCACCTAAAAACACAAGTACTGGAGTAGAGTCAGGCTATAAATTCTGGTCAAAAGTAGCTATTTGTAATCAGATAACCAACTAATCAGATTTGTAATTTGTAATAATCAGCATTTGTAATCAGATAACCAATCTATCCCCAAGGATAGATTGTTTCTAACCCTTTGTAAGGGTGCTTGGTATTGGCCAACTGGTATTGAAGCTAAATGTTCTCCATTCAACAATCACAAAAATAGTTCCTTAAACAAAGACTCCAAATGGCCTGGCTGTGTAAAGGAAAAGAAGAAAATGATCACTTACCTAGAACGTTAAGAACCCCCATAGGACTTGGGGGCACATAAGGGCCCAGTGTCTGGGCATGGGTTATACAGAAGTAATATTTAATAAAGATTTTAAGCACTGTGTGTCAATACCTTTTTTATGAAACTAGGACTTTCTACTGATGATATAAAAGCACAAAATATATTAATGAGGTAATTCATCACCGTTTACAACTATTGTCATTCTACAAAGCAAAATAGCAACATTTTTATCTATAAACATCACATATGTAAGTTGAGGCTACTGCTACACTGAAAACCTAAGTCAATTCTTAGTTATCTGATTATCTGAGTAATATGGTGGAGTGGGAAACTATGGGTCCTGAAGTTAGGAAACCTGGGTTGAAGCCCTGCCTCTCACAGTTACTCAATGTCTACCTGGGCACGCTCCTTAATCTCTCTATGCTTCCACCTCCTCACCTTTAAAAGGGTCATACTAACATGTGCACCTTTGGAATAAGATTAAGATCCCAAGGTGATGGTGTTCAGGGTTGGGACAAGCAGAGGTCCTGAGCCTTATGGGGCACACAGTGGAGTTTAAATGGATCAAAGGCAATCAATGGATAAAACTGAACTGAGAACTGAGAACTATACCTTTGCAGGGGAGCTTGATGTTAAAGCCTCTTGGGGTGTCTGAAGTACATTATACATTAGATCTAAGGAGGGAGAATAGGCAAAGAATAGGGCAGAAGAGTGAGGTTGAAAATAGTCTTCTCTCTCTCCTCGCCACCTACACAGGGTACCTCCACTCCCTCTTCTCTCACTTTTTCTACTCTCAGCAATCTGGCTTCCAAATGCATCACTCAACGGAAATTGCTCTCACAAAAGGAGAGCTTCAGTTTCAACTCTACTGACCTTTTTTCTCCCTCCTCATCCTTCTTGACCTCTCAGAAGTCTTTGCTCCTTAATATTCTCTCATCTCTCGGTTTTCATGACACCGCTCTCTCCCGCTGCTTCTCCAACCTGTTGGAGGGTTCCTTCTCAGTCTCCTTGGCTGGATCATCACACGGCATCTTTCATGCCATGTTCGATAACTGTGAGTGTACCCCAAAGCTCTGCACTGGGCCCTCCTCTCTTCTCTCTCTATACTCACTCACTTGATGACCTCATCAGCAACCATGGGTTCGATTATTACCTCTCTGCAGATGACTCCCATTTATATATATAGAGAGATATCTATAGATATCTAGACCTACTTCTTTCAGAGACCTATTCCTGCACCACCAACTGCGAATCACAGGATGGTTTAAATTAGGTGTCATGGAGACATCGTAAACAATACCTCCTCTGCAGTCACCAGGTTTGAGTCCCTGGTGTTATTCTTGAGTCCTCCTACTCACCTCCTATCAGCTGCCAAATCTTGTTCTTCCCACCTCCCAAATATCTCTTGCCTATGTCCTCCAGCCATCCCCCTAGTGCCCTCCTCATCAGTTCTCAACCGGGGACTGTGTTAGCTTCCTAACTGACCCTGGTGCCCCGAATCTCCCCACACTCCTTCCCTCAGTTACCAATGATTTTCCTAAAGCAAGGTTTTAATACATCCCCTCCCTCTGTTCAGTAAATTCTAGGGGCTCCTTACAAAATCCATTTGGCACCTGGAGCTCTTCACCACCTGGCCAGTCACTTACTTCCTCTTCCGCTCCTTACACTGTCCCCCTCCAATCACTCAGAAGAGCGACTCACTGCTCTTGAACTCACTGCTCTCCCACCTTCTATGGTTTGGCGCTTACTGTCTCTCAGGCCTAGAACGTTCTCTCTCCTCTCTTCCTACCATTTGGAAATCCTTGGTTTCTTTTCAGAGATGGCTCCAGTGCCACTTTCTGCAGGACAACAGTCCTGGCTGGTCCCATCAGATGTTTGTGCCTTTCCATCCAAGGTTACCTGGTGTCTGTTAACTCCCTGAGATCAGGGGCTATTTCATGGTTGTCTTGGTGTCTCCAGGGCTCACTAAGTATCTACTCTGTGCGTGACACATAGTAGGTACTCAATAAATGCTTGATTTATTGATCTGCAACTATCTGAGATCAATGTTTAATGTTATATAGATCACTGTGTAGGTATAACCAGAATGGTGTGCTGGAACCACACTCCAGCGCCATTTCCCATGGCAAGGGAAGAGAAGGATCAATGGAAGTATGTGACAGAGGGTATGAAGGCATACCCAGAATACCCTTCGAGGAATGACTATGAGTCCTTGCAAGGATGAACAATGTTGACTTGGGTTTGGAGCACGTGAAAACCCATTATCTGAATACACCAAATCAATCAGTCAGTCAACAAATTTTTTTTTTTTGCTTGTTTTGTTTTTTAGGCAACTGGGGCTAAGTAACTTGCACAGGGTCACACAACTAGTAAGTGTCAAGTGTTTGGTCTGAGGCCACATTTGAACTCAGGTCCTCCTGACTTCAGGGCCAGTACTCTATCCAATGTGCCATCCAGCTGCCCCAACAAATATTTATTAAACTCTTACTATATTTCAGGAATTGGGTGGGCTATAAAAACTGGGGCTATAAAAAGAAAAATGAAACAGTCCCTGCATTCAAGCAACTTACATTCTATTGAAGAGATAACATTTACAACATGTACACATCCAGTCATAAAGGTCTTAGAAAAATGGAATAACTTTAGCCCTCAAGGAGATCAAATTCTTTTGGGGGATACAATGTATGCATTAATAAGTATATACAAATTTCTGTTTGTTTGTTTTGGACTGAACCTGTGATTTTCAGCTGGGTAGGGAACTCATGGCCACAAATTTCCTTTGCCAGTACCTCTCTCCAATTTACAGTCTTAGAGGATTTCCTAGGGGGTTTGAAAGGTTAAATAATTTGCCCAAGGGCATGGAGTCTATATGTGGAAGAGGTGGGACTAGAACCCAGATCATTTTGATTCTAAGGCCAGCTTTCTTGACTCTGCCATGCTGCCTCACATTCACTGCTTACCTACTGACCTTAATGCAAAGGCAGGTAGAGGAGATGGCTTAAAATATATTGGCAATATAATCTAGGATTAAGGGAAAAAAAAGTGGCCAATGGCTTGACAAATAGAATTATTAATATATAACTATATATTATGTTGATTTTTCCCACTCAATCGATGAGCATTTATTAAGCATTTACCATGTCACAGGTATGAAATAAAAACAGAAACAAAAGAGCCTTTGCTTCAAAGAGCTTACAGAGAAGACAACATATACATATGTAAATAGACATAAAGTAATTGGGGGCAGGAGATACTAGTCACTAGAGGGATCAGGAAAGGCCTAATGTATGTAGTGGCACCTGAGTTAAGACTCAAAAGAAGCTGGGTCTTCTAAAAGGTAGAGTAGGACACAGAGTACATGCTAGGCATGGGCAACAGCCTGGGCAAAGGTAAAGCTTTTGGATGGAGAGATGGAGCTTCATGGAGGAGGAACAGCAAGTCAGTCAGCTTGACCGGATACAGAGTATACAAAGGAGAATAATGGGTAATAAGCTTGAAAAGGGAGGCTGGAGTCAAATTGCCATGAGCTTCAAATATCAGACAGAAGAGTTTGTATTAACACCTGGAGCTTCTTGCGTGAAGGGGCAGGACATCTTCACCACCCCCAACATGCACATTTGTTTAAAAGTTTAGGGCTCACAAAGACCTTTCCAGATATGATCTCATTTGTTTCTTACAACAACTCCTGTGAGGTAGGTGCTGCTGCTATTATTATTTTTGCTATTATTTCCATTTTAGAGATGAAACATGAAGCATGGTCAGACATATTTTAGGACTTTCACTCTGGCAGCTGACTGTAGGATGGACTTAACTGGGAAGAGACTTGAGGCAGGGAGAAAAGCTAGGAGGCTAGAAGTAATGAGAACCTGTGGTAGGGTAGTGGCCTAGGTAGAATGGCTGGATGGAAGAGATATCATGGGGATAGAATCACCAAGATCTGGCAACTGATTGGCCATGGCAACAGTGAAGGAAAGTGAGGAACAACTCTGATCTTGAGAACCCGATTGACTAGAAGGATGGTAATACCCTTGACAGAAATAGGAACGTCAGGAAGAAGGGTGGGTTTAGGGGAAAACACACTGAGTTTTGTTTAGACATGTTCAACCTGAGAGGTCTGTGGGCATCCATTTTCATTTGTGCAAACAGAATTGTTGTTGTTCAGTTATTTCAATTGTGTCTCCATTTGGGGTTTTCTTGGCAAAGATACCGGAGTGGTTTGCCATTTCCTTCTCCAGATCATTTTACAGATGAGGAAACTGAGGCAAAAAGGGTTAACTGACTTGCCCAGGATCATATACCCAGTAAGTATCTGAGGCCAGATCTGAACTCAGGTCTTTCTGATTCCAGGCTGAAGTTCTATCCACTGTTTCACCTAGCTGCCCCAAGTACAAGTGGATGCTTGAATGCAACTGGAGCTCACAAGAGAGACTAGAGTTCCAAAAGGGAATTCCAGAACTGAGTTGAGACGTGCTGAACATGGGAAACTCCTAATATCACAAACAATAGCACTAACTATATCTTAAGGCAAAGAGGGTCACCTATGACATGGAGAAATTCCCAGGAAATGATATAGTCTTCCTTCTAAATGTTCCTTTTTCAGATGATACTATGTTGATTCCATCAAGCCCCAGAAAATGTTAGGGTCCCCTCAATGAAAATAATGACCGTTTAAAAGAAATCAGCTTAACCAGCCACGTAGGAAAAAACAAAATGGGTTAAGAAGATCTATTGTCCAGATTACTTTGGGCAGGCACTGACCTTGGAGAGTAAATGTACTAAGCACAGAATCAGCTAAGACAAAGACACTGCATTTGGAAAATGACATAATGACTTCAGTGATTCCCAGCTGCTCACACAAACTCATCTCACAATTTATCTTAACAGTAACGGTCTTCCAAATACCGTATGATGATGAACCATGAGATACCACAGTCTCCAAAGAATCAAAAATATAGGTTATTCAAAGGATAATGGAGAAACTGGAAAAAGTCAGAAGCAGCAAGTTACCAATGACGATTTGTGTGCATGAAGTAGCATAAGATAACATAGAGGAAATGTAATTGAAAAGTGAAGTGGACTATGGTGTACTTGGAATCAAAGAATCCGGGTTCAAATCCTAGCTCTGCTATTTATAATCTATATGACACTAGATAAGACACAACCTCTCTGTGCTTCAGTTTCTTCATCTGCAAAATAACTGTTACATTAGACAAAGGTCATTAGGATCAAAGATTTTAAGGTGTCTTTCAGGTCTAAACTCACAAGAAAAGCAAGAAATGAATAGTCTAAGTTCAGCATTGGTGGTGACAGAGTGGTAAAAGACCTGAGATGAAGGCCCCTAGTTTGTAAATTATCCCTATGGAGAGTTTTTTGGAGGATAGGGATAAGAATCATTCAGGACGAGGGCTTAAGAACAACAAAGAGAAGGCAAAGGTACTTCCCCCCAAAAAATGAGTAAAATGAGTAAAAAGCAAGAAGTTTAAGGATGAAGATAACAAAAGTTTCTTTTTAAGCATGTGTGGTTTGAATTGTTGGCACAAAATTCAGGTAACTATGTGTACTAAAGATACACATAGGTAAGTCAACCTGGCAGCATGGAACCCAGAAGCAAGGTCAGGCCTGGAGAGAGAGATTTGGGAATCACTTGAGTAGGACGGTAGTTAAAGTTGTGTGGAAAACAGAACAAACCAAAGGGAGAGGAGATCAAGGCTCGAACACCTCAGTTAATGAGTTTGAAGAAGGATGAGTAAGTCAGTAGCCACAGTGGACAGAAAATGCCTCAGAGTCACACAGACCCACCTTCAAGTTCTGCCACTCACACTCTGTTGCTCGGTGACCCCAGGCAAGTTACTGAACCTCCTAGTGCTCCTAGACAACTGTGTAAGGCTATAGCCTGCACAGCAGAAGCCAATCTGCAGGAGTACAAGGAGTTTCTCCTGAAGTCCCATACATCAATGAAATCATAATGACCTCCTGTTGTTGGAGCTTTAAATTGGTCCAGCCATTCTGAAAGCAACCAGGAATTATACTATGAAAGGGACTCAAATGCCCACATCCTCTGACCCAGAGATTTCATGACTAGGCATTTACCCCAGGCTGGTCAAAGACAGAAAGAAAAGACTTAGATACACCAAAACATTTATAGTAATACCTTTTGTAATAGTAAAAAACTAGAAACAATACAGATGACTGGGGAATGGGCAAACACATTGTGATACTATACTAGAAAAATGAAAGCCTCATTACTAAAGGCTGAATGATTTGCCACAAATACCAATTGTGAAATTAAATCAAATACAAGAAATAATGACAATTGAGTAGACACACGGTCAACCATTTTGGCATTTGAGGGATCACTGTTCTGAAGTTGCCATGAGATAAGACACTTGCTGCTGAAATCTCTCCCTGTCTTCTAAGGGCACAAAGAGAAGTCCTGTGCTTAACTGTTTCTCTTTTGGCCAGCAATCCTGAGGGTCTTCCCCTCCCACTTTGACTTTTTCTTTTCGTTCTTTTTTTATTAAAGGGGGCATCCCTTCACTCACTTCTTAAAGAGGCCTATTTACTAAATGGGCATTGCCTCACTCAAAGTGAGAACCTAAAAAGACCTTAGCTTAAAAGGCCAAGGACTCCCACTGCATCTTGGGCCATCTCCAGTCATCCTGATCAATATCTGGCCACTAGACCCAGATGGCTCTGGAGGAGAAAGTGAGTCTGGTAACTTTGCACAGCCCTCCCTCACTCAAATCAAAGTCAATTGCAAGTCATGTGATCATCTCCCTGCAGTCATAGTCCTCTTCGAGAATGAAAGACAGACTACACACCAGGACAGTTAGGTGGAGTGCCCATATCATCTTTCTACTGACAGTGCAAGCAAGCCTTCTAGAATATTCACTTTGGTTCTAATTCAACGATTATTTACTCAAAACCTACTCCATACTGAGTAGGGCTGACAGGGATGGCAAATGGGTCTCATATGATTACAGCCAAAAAATATCTGTTGGATAAACAGTGAGGTTTGCTGCAGCCAACTAGAGATTTGCCTGAATCCTACTGGATGTTTCAGTAACACAAGTATTACTTATGGACCTTTATGGGCGTAGAATAGATATTAATGGACACAAATAGAACAATACTGATCTCATTAGATACTGAGGTATATATACTCTGCTGAATTTAGGCAAAGAATAATGTTTATTTCAACAAAATTTATATATTAACAAAATGTTAACTAACAAAGGTTGCTATATGAACCTATAAATTTAAGGGACTATTAAATTCCTTCCTTCCCAATTATGGTAACACACATAATTTAATTCTTATAAATCAGTGAACAAACAAAATTCCTTTATATAAGAGGATCAGAGCAATTTATAAGTCCTTATTTCTTCAAACTGTTATTTTTTAAAATTTAAGAACTCCTAGCACTAGATGTAAATTTTTTTTCAATTATGTAACAATTGAAAGATACCTACAATTTTGCGCTTGATCATAAAAAGTGGAATTTTTGCGTGGAGAGGGGTTGCAGAAAGCTCCTTATGGACTGTTGATAAATACAATCTTCGTTTAATGTTCCCTAAATCAGTTATCCTGAAAAAAAAAATAAAGGAAGAAGAGTAAGAAATATTTATCAACCACCACCTTTGGAAAACCCATTACAAATCCCATAAAATATGGTATAATTCACAAAGTGACTCTTTATAGGGATAGGGAGCTAATGTGGAACTTAAGGATTACCTTTTCATATGATTAGTAATTATATTAAATGCTATATTCCATTCAAACTTGCCAACAAGGATGAAGCTCTAAGTTCACTTAGGATGTTAATGTATCTTAGGACTCCATATGAGATTCTATGAAAGTCAATGAAAGAATTCAATCCACATCAACTGAGAAAGACCTTTAATTCACTAGGCTTTTAATAATTACACTTGCTCCAGTCCCTTACCTTGTGCTATCTTGGGACATACTGTTACCTACTACATAGGAAAACGGACCACTTGTTTTCTATAGGCCGTCTGACCTGTTTCAACACAGACACAAAAGCAGGCTGGCTGGCTTCCCTTCTAGGGCAAGTGGTACTCCTCTCCAACCCTGAATGAGCATGGATCTGTTTACTGCTCACTCTACAGGTCCTTACTGAACACAGCCATGAACACTAAGATTCAGTTTGCTTCAAGAGTACTGAGGCTTATTTCCTGTAGTATCCCCAAAGACTGGCAATCTCCCTACCTGCCTCATAGCATTATCCTGGAGAAATAATATTTCCTTATAGGGTATTTTTTTTAAAAATCTGGAAGCAATGATTAATTTGTCTCCCATTATTAACCATCCTATTCCTACTACACTGGTAATTTTCTACAATTAGGAATAGCTCATTAAAAGATCTCTCTTCCATTGTTTTTATAATATTGGAAATATGTTCTTTTTAAAGCTACTGAGGCTTTCCTGTTTCCTATAGTTATAGATTACCCTGCTCATCTTCCAACAATTTGTAAATCCCCTTACCATTTTTGGAAGCCCCTGTTCCCTCTCCTTGTGATTGGGGAGATGTTCACATCTAAGTATAGGGCTGGTCCAGCTGTTGGCAGAACGAGCAGCTGGCATGAATTCAGAGACCTGTTGCCCCCTCAAGATCTTCTACATCTGCCTGATGATGCCTGGCATTCCTTAATGCTTTCATTTTGCAAAGCGAGGGCTTAAAATGCAACCACCTCACTGACAAAGTCATACAAATTGCATCAGATTTTTCACTGAAAGCAATTTGTAGTGGGGACTGGGGCGAAGGGAGAAAGGGAATGCAGAGGTAAGGGAGAGACAAAGAAGGGCACAGAAAGGGAAGGCTGGAGACATCAAAGATAAACTTAGTCTACAAAGAGTTGCTAGATTTTGTTTTAACAGACCTCTGATTTTATCTGTGCTGGGAACAGTAAACATCTTCTCTCAACAGACATCTATACCTTCTCTGCAACTTAGTCTTAGAGATGTGCCTGGGGTACTGAGAAGGCAGATGTGACCACATCCCAGAGCCAGTATATTTGGAGGTGGCACTTGAACTCAGGTCTTAAATACTCTGAAGCCATCTACCTATGCACTAGTCAACACTGCCTCTCTGTTGCTAGGTGAATCCTTCTAAAGCAGTGCTGAGGACATCACTTTCTTGTTCTCCACTCAGGAAACCCCAACTCCTTAGCCTGGCATTCAAGGCCTTCCACAATCTGGTCACAAATTACTGGTCAAATCTTAGTTCATATTATTTTCTCTTTCAGGTACACGATACTAAATTCTGATCTGCTTGTTGTTTCCTCCACCTAGCAATCTGCTTTACTCTCTGCCTTTGCTCACTCTCCCCTAAGCTTAGCATGCCTTCTTTCTCAAACTTTACCTCTTCAAGGACCAGCTCACACACCAGCTCCCCCAAGTACCCTTTGTTGACTCCTTCCCCTCACAGCCCCATCACCACACCCAACCTTAGGAGAGCTTTCCCTCCACACACTCTCTCATCATGCTGTCATCAAGAACCGAAGAACTATCTGCTATGTGCAATGCACTATGCAAGTTACCAGGAGAAATACAATGCTTGCGATTCAACTAAACTGGCCTCACATGACACAGGATTCCAGTGCCTTTGCACACTCACGATGCTCCACCACTTCTCTTCCTTTAAAAAGCAGTGAAGCCTTTCTTGACTCCCACCCTTGCCAGGGCCTCATCCCCACTGCTCAGTCTATATTTGTATTTATTAGTTATATTTATGCTCCATATATATTTGTGTGTCTATGTGTTGCTTCCACCATTGGAAAGGAAGATCCTGACAAGTAGGAATTGTTTCATTCTTTATACTTGTTACCCCAGTTCTTGGCACACAAGAAGTTGGCTTATACTTGTTGAGTGCCTAAAATTCAATTCAACTATATCTTAGTGGCTGGCCTCTATTTCCTCAATAATTAAAACAGGAGGTCAGATCCTCTACAGAGAGAGAGGGAGGAGAAAGTGATGAAGGAGACATTTTTTGGATGATAAAGATGGCAAAGGATTAGGGATGACAGTCAGAGCCACGTGTGTGACTGACACAGGGTGAAGCAGAGGGACAAAGAGTTTAAAAGGTGAATCAAGAGGTCAAAATGTTGAATTTGGGAGGCATGGCCCTCATGGAGACTGATCTAAAGTTGCACATTAATATAAATGAATAAAATCTAGTCTGTGGAAGAATCTCTAAGTTGTGATATCTATGGCAAAAGACAGTAGTGGCAGGGGATCCCACACATGGTTGTGAGTGATTATACTTTCCTTGAATAAAGAAGTCACAAAATCTTGGTATGTCAATAACACAGCAAAATGCTTCATATCTCTGGATATAAAGACATGTTACAAAAAATTATAGGTCCAACAATGAACCCGAAAAAACTATAGTACGAGGATCGGCCTTGTTAAATTTGGTGATGCTTCTCAAGTGAAGAATTTTTGGCCACAGTAACTGTCAAAGAACTCCTGTTAGCGGTCCCAGTGGAGCTGCAATCTATACCGGAGGAAGGAGTACTGCCAATGAAATGTCAGGTCACTGACGCAGTCACTTTCAAAGACAGCTGAACTGCTCATTTAGAATTTAGAAGAGCTTGGGGGGTTTTAAAGTGAGTTCTTTATAGGAGAGAAAAGGCCAACCACCATGCAGGAAGAGCCAAGAGCTTTCTTGGGGTGGGGGTAAGGAGTGTGAAGCTGTCAGGGAAACATTAACAATGCAAGCCCGGGTCTGTCTTTCTTTACCTTCTAGCCCCTGCCCACCAAGAAAACTAGCAATGGCATTACTTCTCTTGTACATAAAAAGGCATTTTTAAAGCCACATAAGAGTTAATATATTTTTATTTCTGTACTTGAGCATTCATATATAAGGGTCAGACACATGATAGAAAAAGTAATGAGACTGTGTTGAGAAAAAATGAGGTAGTCAACAAGAAAATCAACCTCGTTTATAATAATATTCTAGTGATCAGCAGGTGCATAACTCTCCCAGCTATGGTCATTAACTGTATTCATTTCACATTTAACATCTACATTTGCAAAACATTTGAAAGTAAAATTACTTTTCAATTCAATTTTCAATTCCATTTTATATCTTCATCTTTGATTGACTATTTTTCCCTCACAATGGCATGTGCAGGGAGAATGCGAATAAATGGTGGTAACTACCCAAGAGAAAGAACTCATCGGCTCCGACTACCTCTTCACTTTGCACCTTCCTGTGTGTACAATCACTTCCCACTATTTGGTAATGTTCTCTTCAGGCTCAGAATGAACTTGGGGGGAGAGGAGGACTGACAGCACATTGCTGAAGGGCTGACTTGTTCTTAAAGCTGAAATGTTTCTTCTTTTTCTTTGATGACTTTACCTATAGATTTCTCAAATCTGAGAGCCCACCTTTCAGTAATGTGAACAAATAACCAATTCTTATATAATGAAATATTTAAAATGGTATCACTGATACCCTACCACAAAGACACAGCAATGTATTTTTGTGGTATCTTTTAGTATGAAATCTTAAATATGTATGTGATGTTTAAGTCTCTACATCAACTGGTGCTGTGAACAGCAAGGAAATGTGAGTGGAGTAGCAGGTTTTTTAAGCTTCCTCATCAATCAGGTCTGACGTTTCCCAAGCCTCACCAGGGGTAGATTCTTTCTGGACTCTTCCTTAGGTCCCTTCCACTGGAGCTGAGGATCCCTTGGGACCGCTCGAGCCTCAGCAGCTAACAGGTGGTTCTTGCATGCCTAAGTCACCTGGCCGTGTTCCCTTTGATAGCCGTATTCCACTTCTTCTAATGCCAGTTTTTCAGAGAAACAGGAAAAACTTATGTGAACTTCTGGGGAATGAAATGAGCAGAACAGTAGAACTGATACAATCCCCACAATGATATAAAGGAAAACAACTATGAAAAAATTCAACGATCTGATCAAAATGACTAATCATGATTGAAGTAGCCTTCTATGTTGAAGCATGGGTACCACTGATTTTGGAAGAAAAATGATGGACTAGAGAATGATGCATAGCACATGCATTTTCAGACATGACTAATGAGTTGATTTGTTTTGCTTCAGTATTGTTACCAGGGAGGGCATCTATTTGCTGGGGAAAGGGAGAGGAGAGGGTGAATTAGTGGGTAATGATTGATGAGGATGCCAAAAAAAAGAACATCACTAAATTTTTTAAAAAATACACACAAAAGGAAGTATAGAGGGGTTCACAAGTAAATAGAAGAATTTTACTGCTACCTTGTTAAATTTAATAAATAATACCTAACACACACACACACATACACACACACAGGGGTGGGGAGAATCAGGGGAAGGCAAAGGGAGACAGAAAGAAAAAGGGGGAGGAGAGAGAGAGAGGGCTTTAATGTTTGCAAAGCAGTTGACACAGATATAATCATCTGATCCTCACAGCAACTATAAAAGGTAGGTGCTACTCTTATCTCCATTTTGCAGATGAGGAAACTGAGGGTGAGAGAGGTAAATGACTTGCCCAGGTCATACCTGCCACGGCTGGACTGTGATCTGCACTGGTGAAGGGAAATGTCAACATCAGTGAGATC